CATACTTCAAAGTAATCTGCATAAATCAGCATGGAATCGCTCGAATACTAGGAGCACTGTTTTTTTGTTTTTGTTTTTAATACACGGATAGAGAGTGCTTGCAGGCTTCCTGGGCTGGAGTCCCTTGGCACCTCCTCATCCTTCGCTTTCCTTTCTGAAGGGTAGGGACAGCATCCACTATCTGTGGCATCATGGTCAGAACTAAATAAATCCATTCATATCAGGTAGAACCCGGCTGGCAGTGCACACACAGTCAAGATGAACTTCTAAATCCCTGCATTTGAATTCTTACACTATTTGTTTGTGTGCATGTGTGCATGCCTGTGTGTGTTCATGCACGTACCACGACGAGCATGTGGAGTACAGAGAATAACCTCCAGGACCTGGGTCTCCCCTTCCACCATGGGATCAGTCAGGTCGTCAGATTTGGCAGCAAGATCCTTTGCCACTGAGCCAACTCACTAGCCCTCAATATGACTTCTTTGATTTGTTTCCTCAAAGAAGCTATTACAAAAAAAATGAGTTACATTTACTTATTTATGTGTGTGTGTGTGTGTGTTAGTGCACACTGCAGTTTTTGTGTGGCAGTCAGATGACAACTTTCAGGAGTCAGGAAATGACTTGCCACAGCTACACTGTCTACATAAAACCTCACCTGGGAGGCCCCACCCTCCAGTTCCTGGATTCCTTTCTTTACTCCCCATCGCCCCGGACATCACCTTGTAGGGTGCTAGGGACACAGCTGACACCCAATAAGTATTCCTAGAGTGAGTGGATAATTTAAAAGAAACCACTCAAATGTTTTGCTTCAAAAGCATTTTTTTAAAAACCATCAAGGTGGCTAGGTAGGGAAGGTGACTGCTGCAAAACCTAAAGACCTGAGTTCTAGGCCCGGAACCCATAAGAAGGAGGAGGCTCAGGATAACTGACTCTTGAAATTGTCTTCATCCTGCCCCGCCCCACATGCTAAAACATATTATGGGTATTTTTTTAAACCTTTTACAAAAGCATTTTTAGGTTTCCTCTGTATTTTGTGAAATGAAGTACAGAAAAATACCCATCTCCCCAATTGAATTCCCAAGAGGGGGTCCTTGCCTTCCAGCTGTTGCTGAAAACCACAGCTTTCAGCCCTGTTACCAAGACTCCAGGCTGGGGGTGTGTCTTTCCTAGTATCATGCAGCTCAGTCCTGTACAAACTAGGTGTGGTGCTGCTTGAGTACACCAGGGACTTTGGAGGGACTTGGGAAGCAGAGGCAGGAGGATGGGGCACAAGACCATTCTCAGCTCAATAGAGAGTTCAAGCCAGACTACATGACGCCTTGTCACGAAACAAAACAAACACCACCTACCCCTTTCTCCTCTTTCATTTTTCTCTTCCTCCTAAATTTCTCATGGACCTGTTAGCATAATCATTGTGGTGAAAAGCACTGTGAGTGGTTTTTAGCTCATCCTTCGAGGGGAAGCTGATAAGCTTGGACTCAGCCCTGCTGGGGCGACACATAAAATCTTGATGGAGATGGAGGAGGTGAGGGAGCACTTCTTGTCTTCCTGCCTAGGCACTCAACGGCTTCCATTCAGTTCCACCACCTTCTCTAGGAAGCCTAGCCCTGCTCCTCCCTTCCATCCTGAAACCTTCCTTTAGAAACTTCAGCGTTTTTGTGGCTTTCATACACACTGTCTTATACCATTTCCAAATGACTAGTTGCATTGACCTGTCCAAGCAATCCATAAACTGCAATGTCAATGTGTACAATGCCAAGGGTCACAACAGTCAACATAGCTGTGAACCAAAGCTCTTCACAGTCCTTCAGATACCTTCTTTACACTTTCTGTCTATTTACACAGCATTTTAATTTATAGAAATCTACAGTTTCATTTTGCATGTCTGCAATTTGCCTTTTTCTTTCTTTATTAATAGCATGCCCTGGTGATCTTTCTCTGTATATATACGTTGGCTCCATCCTTTTTAACGGGTGTCTAGTATTCCAGAATATAGATGTGTGAAGGATTATGTAGTGTTCCTTACTTTTGGCTGTTAAGGTGTTTTTCATTGTTGAAACTACCGAAATTCTGCCACAAACGTTCACACATATGGAGCACACAGGTCTGCTTCAGTAGGACATATACCAAGAAATGGAGTCCTAGGGAGCCAACTCAGAGGTAAAGTGCATGCTGTTAAGCATGATAATTTGAGTTTGATCCCCAGGGCCCACATCATGGAAGAAGAGAACCAACTCCAGTAAGTTGTCTCCCTCTGACCCCCCCAAATATAACAATATCAGAAGAAGAAATAAATTTCTACTTTACAGAATGCGCATATTATGTATTTAATATGCTAAGCTCCAGGCTGGGGAGATGGCTCCTTGGGTAAATGTTCTGGGCACAAAAACATGAGTTCAAATCCCTGAACCCACATGAAAGCCTGATGAGTAGGAAGAGTATTTGCAATCCCAGTACTTCAGAAAAATGGGAGGCAGAGCCAGACTTGCCAGAAGCCTGAGGGCTAGCCTGGAGAGAGCCTGTCTCAAACACAGTGGAAGGCAAGGACTGACACCTGGTATTGCCCTCTGTATGGGTACTGTGGCTCATGCATGCCCCTTCAGGCACACAGACAAATGTAAACACACATATAAATGTAAAAATTTAAAAAAATCATGTCTAACTGCTATGCACATTGTCTTTATCAGTGATCACACATCTGGGCAGTAGAAGGTTAACATTTTTTACCTTTCCTTGGTAAAGGAAAGGGAACCGAGGGGAGTGCTCCACCTCCATTTTTACTTTAGCATCTCTTAGACCTTAGATGCTCACTGAGAGTGGGGCCCTGACTTCCTTAAATCCGTGTTGCTGTCCCTGTTGGATGTGTTTAAGAGTCCATGCTCAGTGAATGCTGGCTGACTGATTCCTAGCTGGATCAGTCTTGTTCATCTCCACAACACACACTTTTCAAAAGCACTCACCAAGACAGCAACTAACTTTGAGGTTATTTCTTATGTGTGTGTATATATATATAAAATTTTAAGAGAATTCAGTTTTTGCACGGGCCTCTCTGTGGGTATTGATATCTTCCATTTAGAGCTGTCCGCGACAGAATTCACCTCCTGCTTTCCTGGCAGGAGGCAGAGAAAACAGAGCTTAGTTGTCTCAGCTATAGTTAGCAGGGGGTCCCACCCACTGGGGCGCAGCAGACCACAGGCGCCAAACAAGCCCTGGCAGCAAGGCAGAAGATAGAGTAGGGTCAGAATCTGGGGCATTCTGGATCCACAGAGGTTACGTTCTCTTTATGGAGTTCTGAAAACAGCAGAATCTGTAAATCTCAGCTGAAGGATAAGGATGAGTGGATCTAGGTGAGGCAGAACCAGTGTTAGGATGGGACAAGCTGGAGGAGAGGGATGCAGGAAAGAGATTTTGCTGATGTGAATTATTTTATTAAGATACAACTTCCTACAGAGAGATTCCAATATTTCAGTTCCTTCATGTCACCATTTCTGAAAACCAAAAGGCACAGTCGTCCAATCCTGGAGCTGAGAGTTCCCTGTGCCTATGGTGTAGAGGACAACTTTCAGTTTAGCAGACAGAGTGGACAGGTTGGGGATTATGCGCCATTTAATTTGTTTTGAGACGACCTAAGCGAAGGTATTTTGCTCTGAATAATAACGTTTCCTTTTCCCCTTACCTACTGAACCGTTTTTTAAGTAGCGAGCCCAGTGAGGGTGCAACTGCATTCCACATAAACACGTGACGACCAAGGATTGATCGCCCTAGGGTTCCGAGGGTGTGTGGCCTCCTGCTGTGAATTCCCCTGAAGCTAGGACTGCCAGCTCACCTGGATGGAGGACTGCTTTCCAGTCTAGGCTGGTTCCCACTGCGTCCCCCAACAGGCACCGATCCACACTTTGGTTTTCCAACCTCCTTCCACTAGCCCTTTTACTCTCCACTCACCGGAGAGAACTACTGCCCTAAAGGATGGAGCAAGGGCCAGACCTAAATCAAGCCCATCGGTGGCCCATTTTACTCCCAGGCACAATGAGCAATGCTCAGCTCCTGGAGAAGACTCAATTGCCGTTTGGGGGGTTTCAATGCCCCTTTGGCCATTGTTAAGAGGAACAAAGAGGGCAGGAGCTGAGGGCGCCCCCATGAGGAAAGGCGTGGAAAGACACTCTGGGGAGTTATCAAGGAGGCTGGCAGGGTTGGGATGTGGCGCACCTGGATGGCGCTCTGGCAGCCGGGGAGGCAGGGCTGACTCCAAGCCGCTGCGGCGGGTGTAGCCTTTTCCTGACTTGGTTTTGATTTCCCTCTTCTTGATATTATTAATATTATTGTTACTTTCCCGCGCAAATTAAGCAACTGTGACCGACTGGGCGAGCCGCGCAGGGGCCGCCATTTGCTGGTGGAAGCACCGAGCGCCCCGGAAAGGGAACCCGAGGGGAGTGCTCGGCCCCGTGTCCTCCTCCGCCGCGGTGTCCGCAGCATCCCGGCTCCTCGCCCGCGCCGCCCCGGAGCCTTCGCGTCCTCCTCCATTGTCAGTCCGCGCCCAGCCCGGCATCCCGGAGGCCCTGGTCGCGCGCCCTCGGCCCTGGCGAGCCTGCGTCCCCCGCCCGATCCCCTTGGCGCCCGGGCGCCTCCCTCCTCCCTCCCCTGCGCCCTGAGCTCTTCATCCTCGAAGCCCTGAGCTCCCGGCACCGCCAGCCGGGCCGCTGGACCCCACATCTCTGCATCCTCCCTGCCTGGCCCAGGATGCCCCAGCCCCTCACCGGCTGCGGGCATCGCGCGGCGTCTTCTGCAACCCCCCCCCCTTTTATCTCCCGAGGAAGCAAGTTGAGCAAATCGATTTATTAATTTCTGTGGTAGAGGTGGGTCGGTGACCGGGGTACGCCCGCAGGGCTGCAGGGGGAGGCGCCGTGGCTCCCTTCGGCCCCTGCACTGCCCGGGCACAGGGTTTTGTTTCCAGACCCCCAGCGCCCCCCGAAACAATGATGCCACGGGCATGGCGGGCTCACCTGGTGCTGCGCCGCGGGCTCCGGGCGCCCGGTGGCCTAGTGCGCGCCAATCCCTGGCCACAGGTTCGGCCCGCGTGCCGCTGGTGTCGGGCAGGACCCTGCCTTTCTTGGGGTTGTATCTGTGCGTGTCAATGGCGGCAAGCGGCAGTTCTCCGGGCCGCGGATAGTAGCGGGGGGAGGAGGAGGAGGGAGAAGGGATTGCTCCTTCTCCACATAACCACCTCTAGGAGGAGTCGCTCAGCCTCATCCCCCGCCAGCCCAGGCTCCGCGACGGGTCCGGGGGCTTTCGTGGGGCTTGATGAGCTATTGTCCTTCTGCAGTGGTCACGATGGAACCACCGGGCCTGCGCCTCGCGGAGCTGTTGGCTGCGAGGACCTCGCTTCCCTAGAGTCCTGCACCGAGGCCTTGTGGTCACCAGCCTCAGGCTCCCTTTAGCTCGACCCACCTTGGCTGGGAGGAAGAGGTGTGGGCGTTCATCTGCCGGTTATGGGGTGAGAAGGTGAACACAAAAACCCACCTTGGATGCAGCCCTGACCTGAAAATATTACTAAACACATTACTGTGTCGCGCACGGCGGCCACAGGAACCGAGAATTTATACTTCTGCTTGTCCACTGTTTATAAACGAAGACCGAGTGAGAATCCGCCGTGTAGTGTTTGGAGGCACAGATGTGTTTGCTTCTTGGTGGATGAAGACCGTGTGCCCCAGCATCATTTTTTTTTAAAATTGGGTTGCTTTAATTTGCCGTCTCCCAACGGGTATTGAGGTTAGCACAAAGACAGTGTCAGAAGGAGTAGTTTTTATTAGTTTCCAGAAAATTCATTGTGATGGCGGAGCGGTGAGCAGTATCAGGTGACACTGGGCATGTGCATTTGCTTGTTCCTGGTGGAGCCATGACTCTTTTATCCTGTGAAGCTTGTCAAAGACACATGGTTCCAGGGCCAGTCACCATAAACACTAACTTGAACGTTAGTGTAACATCCATGTGTCCTCAGGTTTTTTTTCTGGATGAATCAGAGGCGCCTGAGAGGCAGGCAACCTTTTGATAATCCGCAACCGTAAGAGAAGTGAAATCTTCAGCATTGACCAAATGGACATTCCCTGAACCCGAGATCTTTTGTGTGTGCTTGCTGCCACAAACTATACTTGGATCTGTGTGCTCAGGGAGGGACTGTGGGGTGACCGATGCATGTGATTGCCTGGGTGGGGAGAGGCTAGCCACCCTACCACCCTACCTCGGTGCCATTTCATGGAGCCGGCAGCTGGCATTCATAGACAGTGGTTTCCACTGAGATGTGCATTTTAATCTTGAGTGTTCGCTGAGAACCAGACGTCTTTCTGCTCTCCCCCAAACTATATATGTTTCATTATGCTGTAAATAAGGCTCCATTTTAATCTCCTGTGGTAGGGGCCCCATAATCAGAGAGGCAGGGCAACCTTAATTCTTTTAACCAAACCCTTTATGCTTTCTGTGTATGATTCTCCGTCTTTTGTTTTGGAAGCCCTTGCCAGGCCAGAAATCCAAGCAGCACACAGTCCTCTTTCCAGAGACGTGTATTTAAAGGATTTCAAATGGCCATCTGAGATGTCTCCCACTGGCATCTTCACATATTCCTAGAGGGAAATATGTCTTATTTAAAAAAAAAACTTAAAGCCACCATTCAAGACAGTTCTGGCACCTTGTAGGAGAACTTGACAATCACTCCAGGGCCCCAGTCAGCCAGGCTCACAGGAATGTAATTGAATTATTCATTGGAACGTAATAGTCATGTTCTCTGTAATTTCTACCAAAAATGGTACATGTGGCTAGGTATGGTGGCACATGTGTTTAATAATAGCACTTGGGAGGTATGGGTAAGTGGACCTCTGTGAGTTCAAGGCCAGTCTGAACTGTTTATCACTATATAGGGAGACCCTGTCTCCAAGGGGGGAAAGTCTTTTAATGCGACTCTTATTTCTTTTCATTATTTTCTCCCCCTTCCCTCCTCCCTCTTATATTCGAGACAAAGACTCCAGTATCCCTGGTAATGTAGACCAAGCTGGCTTCAAACTCACGGAGACCTTCCTTCCTCTGCCTCCTGAGTGCTCCCATGAATTTGTGCCTCCACGCCCGACTTCCCTTTCTTTGTTTCCCTGTCTTGGGATAGCCTCTCGTAGCTCAGGTTGGCCTTGTACTTGCCATGTAGCCAAGAGGACCATGCACTCTTTGATCCTTCTGCCCCCAAATAGGCTGGACTTATATGAACCCTATGCAACTTGTCTCATCTAGTATTTGGTTATGTGCTATCCAGAGAAAAGGACGCAGCTGCAAAGTGTGTTACCCAAGAGCCTCCCATTTCATTCTGGCAGATGCTCCTCCAGTTTAAGATGGGGTTACAGCCCTGCAAACAGCGTAAGCTGAGTAAGACATAAGGGTGGTGCACTTGCTAAGCACGGTGCACTGTGGTGTAGTGGCAATCTTTCCTGTCCTGCTCACCTGTGAGTAATGGCTCCTCGCCCCTCACTGCATCCCAAGAGATGCTCACCGCACATCACTAGAGCAGAAGGGGAACTCTAAAACTCCAGGAATGGTTTCTACCAAATGCTATTTACTCCTGAGCGATGGTAAAGCTGAGAAATTGCTAAGGTGGGAACCAGCTGGAAATGATGCAGTCACTCAGGGGCCATCAACACAAAATACTCTGTGTTTTGCAGCAGAAATCAAAACTTGATGAATTGAAACTTGGGTAGATTCAATGGTCCAGCCAAGGCCACCCAGCAAACCATAGGCAAAGCTTCCACAGCATTTAGAGATACACAGACAATATAGTCTCTACCAGCTCCAAAGTTTGCAGGAAATAAGAGTGGGCAGACCTACAACTTCCATTGGCCCCATGGAGTTCAGTGGCTCATATTTTATAGCCGGCTTTTAACACATAACCAGAAACCTACCCCGGAGATGGAGACATATACTCTTACTGTTTATAGTGGTTTCCTGCCAATGGAAACATTGTCTCCAAAGGCAGAGGTGGGAGGGTTGCTGTGGAGGGGGCTCATCAGACTCAGCAGGTAAACAAACCCGAAGTGTCTGAGAAGGTTGAAACTTTCAAGATTCAGCAAGGCCTCTTCCCCAAGGTTATAGAAACACTGAACAACTTTGGGGGAGGGGCAATATTCAGCTAGGCTGCAGATATTTCTCTGACTTGTTGCACTGCCAGGGTTGCGCTTTTGTGAGCCTTCACCAAGGTTGGGCGAACTTTTGGGTGACTCGGCTGCTTTGGCGTCACAGGTGCAAAGGAAGTTTTGCACCCAGTCATTTGATTGAAAGCCTCTTAGACCCCTCCCAACATATATCCTTAAGGAGTAGGGAGTTAGTCTAATTGTAGGACATTTTTTTTTTAGCCCTTGACTTATGTGTGTATAATGTGATGAGTCCATGTATTGATTCTGAGTTGACGCCGTCCTTCCTCTGGCTTAACCAAGTCTTGGTGTTGGCTAGCCAGTGTGGGTGGCTTTCCCTGCTGAGCACAGAGACGCCTCTTGTAGACTGTACCTAGAGACCTCTCTAGCTTCCAGGCTCCATCCCCAGATTACTCTATTGGTCAGGTCTGACCCCTGCGGGCAAGGCTATGCCTCCCCACACTTCCCTACTGGTTGTAATGGTCTTTTCCCCTACAGAAAAAAACTCTACCACTCCCTGAGTCCTGCTTCTACCTCTCTCCCCCCTCCTCATCCATGGGAATAGTGTCATCTGTACCCTCTCATCCTCCCTTGGGGTGCCTCTTAGAAACCTCCAGCCTCCCCACCTGGCACCTGACCTAAAGGGGCCCAAACTCATTCACTTTTGCAATTGAATTTGACCTCAATATCCCTTAAATAATCAATCCAAATTGCACTTAATGGCACCCTAGATCCCAGTATTGTGGAGGACCTATATAACCACTGCAAGTCATCGGGGAAATGGAAAGCTATTCCCTGTGTTCAAGCTTTCCCTTACCTCTGCTCACAGCCCCCTCTCTGTCCTCCCTGTTCCCCTCCCAGCTCCTCCTTACCATGAAGCCGGGACCAGATTATTCCGGCAGCCACTACTGTTGATCCCGCTAATGAGCCTCCCCCACCCCCCATATTGGCCTCAACCCACAGCTCCCTCTTCTCTGGCCCCTTTGGTTTCCCTTTCTCCTTCCCCAGCAATGGGCTGCCTGAAGCAACTCTCCCTGGCACCCACGTTCAGCCCACCGCAGCCCTTAGTCCTACTCTGCCTTGGGACTCTCTCTTCCTCCTGCTACCTGACCTAGCCCAGCAGGGTTCTCCCTTTCCCAGAAGTCGCTGGGGTGGACACCCTGGTCAGGGTACATGTCCCCTTCTCCCTGAGAGAACTCTCCCAAATAGAAAAGATTGGGCTCTTACAGAGCTATCTCCTCCATCTTGATTAAAGAATTTCAATATATTACCCAGCCTTACCTTTCATGATGTTTATGTGATTCTCACCAACAGCCTTCTACCCAAGTAACAAAGCCGAGTCTGGGAACTGACTAGGGCACATGCAGGTAAAATTCACCAAACTAACGCTGCCCACCCAGTCACAACGGAACTACAATATCCTGGGGGGGGGAGCATTCTAGCTAGGGATCAATTTATAACTTCTCTCCTGTCTGGTCTCCATAAGGCACCATTAAAGCAGTAAACTTTGAAATCCAAGAGGGTTGCCAGGCGGTGGTGGTGCACGGCTTTAATCCTAGCACTCGGGAGGCAGAGGCAGGCAGATCTTTGTGAGTTCGAGGCTGGGCTGGACCGACAGCCTCCAAAACAATACAGAGAAACCCTGTCTTGAAAAAACCAAAAAAAAAAAAATCCAAGAGGGTCATCCAGGACACACATGAAAATCCATCTCAGTTCCTAGACTTCCTTACAAAGTTCTCTTACAATATACCAGTCTTGATCCCAAAACCCCAGATGGAGCCGGCTGGTGGTGGCACACGCCTTTAATCCCAGCACTTGGGAGGCAGACGCAGCCAGATCTCAATGAGTTTGAGGACAGCCTGGTCTACAAAGCAAGTTCCAGGATAGCCAGGACTGTTACACAGAGAAATTCTGTCTCAAAAACTAACCAAGAAAAACCCAGATGGCAAACAACTCCTTATGACCTGCTTCTTCTACCAGAGTTTCCCTGACATTAGGGTCAAACTTAAAGGTCTACAGAAAGGACCCCTGGCTCTATAAGCAGAAGTCTTAGCGCTGGCCTTTAAGGTGTACCACAAGAGATGAAAAAGTCTGAGAACAAAAATACCTGATGTTGTCTAAGGCCTTTCAACCGCCATAGCAATTGCATGCGCTCTCTTACCTCTCAAAGCCCGAGAACCTCTGGGTCCCCGCTTGAAATGTAGTCAGGAAGGTCACTGACCCAAGCCTGCCTGAGCCCTCATAAACCACCTCAGTCATGTCCAAGGTGCCATCAAAAG